TCCTAGCATATCCAGGTGGTTTTAAATGGTTTTCAATGCTCAGTTTTGATATGTTAAGATTGTCAGAAATCTCTCATGTCATTAAATGCTGATTGGATTTGATCAATGCCTTTATTTCGTTGTTACCAAATTCACTTGGCCTTCCTCAGCGTGGTGCATCCTTAGCATCAAAATCTCCGGACTGAAGCGCAGCAAATGGATTCTGACACTGCCGTAGTTTTGCGGCATCTTCACCATACCCACCACGTATCTTTTTTTAAGCTTGCACAGTGTTTTTTCCTTTTTCCAGCAAAACATGACAAAAATATTGGTTTTGATTTTGCATTTTTAAATTGACACCAAATAAATAATTAACTAAATTGTGCACGCTCTTTTTCTACAACAAGCTTGAACGGTCAGCGGCCAAGTTACATGAGGAGTTTGTGGTTTACAATGAAATCAGTTACATTTCAAGACCTCTACATCCGTCTGTTTTGTTTAAAAAAGCCATTGCTTTTTGGCCAACCTGATCTATACAGATGTAGAAGAGATCTGGTGGCTTAATGAGAACCGAGAGGGAACCAGGCAGATACAGCCGTGCTGTAGTTAAATCAGTAGTGAAACTTCAGGAGAGGAGAGCTGGTGCAATAACATATGGTCTTTTATCATAAAATTAGATTCTTCTGTTTGTAAGCCGTACTTTAGTCAAACTTCTGGGAACAATTTAATGGGTTATATAGAGAAATTGTAGCTGAGTGACTGCAGTTGTCACTTCAGGCTCTGAAGTATGTAAAATAAATAACATTGAGGTAAATATCATTAAAATAATATCTAAAGAACCGATGTATGCACGTGTATTTCAGAAGGACAAGTGCAGTGTCTATTGCAGGGGGCATTACTGTGTCTCAGTTAGCATGGCTTCACGTTATGGTTAATGACATCTCGTTGTTACTGGGGGGTGTTAATGAGTACTTCAGGCGTTGTGTGTGCACCGATACTGGGTTTCAGTTTCACGTGCACACGGGGTTTATTTGGATGGTTCCCCGTGCAGGTAATGGAAGATCGGATGTTCCCTGTGAGCTAATTGGGTATTCACTTGTCCTGGTTTCATAGGTAAAGGATTAAGCTTCTCTGCATCTGTGTTTGTTTTCTTGTCAGACTCCATTCAGGAAAACTCTTACCGATAAAAATCTTTGTTTCAGACAGCACGGAGTAGGAGTGCTGAGCTGGAATTGAATTTGTGGAGTGGTTCTGTTACAGCACTGTCATTGTTATGGCACTCCAGTAAGGGACAAAGACTTCTCAAAACATTTATTCCTGACTTCAGATTTAAGCCTCTTAGTACTTTCTTTTCTAAAAGTTATTTCAAATACAGATGTGGTGATAAAATCAGAGGTTTCTTGAAGCTTGTTACCTTTAAGTGTCTGTTCTCAGTTTCCTGCTGCTGGGTTGCCAGTTTCCAGTCATCAGATCTGTTCAGAACTTGCAGCCCCTTCTTTGGGGGGTATCAGAGCAGCCTGCCCTGTCTGTCTGTCTGTCTTTTTAATGGTCAGTGAGTTGTAATTGCCAGGACAAGTAGTTTTGTTTTAGTTTGGGGTTTTAAGGGTTTTTTTGCTTGCTTCTGGTTGGAGTTGTGCCTGCTTCAGCACACTGACATGGGACTTTGCAGTGTCTGGGCATCTGAGTTTAAAAATCTGTCATTTCAGCATTTCCAGCTTGATCTTGGACATTTTAGATTCTGTGCCAGTGAGCTGATTTTGTTGAATTGGCTTCTGGGACTTGAGTATTCCAGTTCCGCACAGTGGGGAGCAGTGGTGGACTCTTCTCCACCCAGGGTGGTGTGTGCTGCTGAAAGGGACGGTCAGGGAGGACAGCGTGCAGACGTCTCTGAGGACGTAATGGGGGAAGTCTGTCGTGATGCAGCTTTCTGGAATATCAGAGAGCTGGTGTGCTTGACAAAAACACCACCGAGGCTTGGAGCCATTCCTAATCAGTGGAAGGAGGAAGTCAGTATTGATCAACAGTCATTTGTGTTGGCTCTGGGAGAGGAACCGTTGGGGACTGTGTGTGCAGGCTGGCAGGGATGTCCTTTGGCTTCCTGATCCAGCAGAGGTCAGGAGAGAAATGATTCAGGTCTCCAGCTGAAGGGATTTTGGCACGCTGCTTGGGCCCAGGGATAAATACTAAATAGCTACCTTATGCCTGTCTGAGGAAAAATGGTGCTTTCCAGATTTGCTGCAGCGTGTTCCCGTCTTCGCGTGGTGGCTGTCAAAGTCTCTCAGTGCCGCTGGCCAGTTAGGCCTGGCAGGACTTGTTGCCTTCGGCTCTCCCTTAGAGGCCTATAAACATTAGCCACCCAGGGGCTACTGATCTGGAAAAGCATGCTATAAATTGACGCTGCATGTAAATGAGCTATCGTGCTGTGTTGTGGTGATTAATGTAACTGTAACGGCTCACATTATCTTTTAAAATTACGATAACCTGGGGAAATCACTTAAAGATCACCTCTTCTGCCTGTTCTCAGGAGAATATCTGCATTTTGGCTCCATATGTCTTATCTTTACTCCTAATGCAAAAGAGAAAATTAAAGGGAGCAAACTATACACTAGGACCATACTCTAACTTGCATCCCATTTACTCCTGCGTGCTAATTTTCCTATGCACAAATGCTTGTGAGTTCCTTCGAGACTGGCCTTTTTTAATAAGCACACTCCGGGAGTCGTGCTGGTTTTGATACAAGCTCAAGACAGAGGTGTCAGTGCTGGCACTTAACTGATTGTTGCTGAAACCTCCGTACTTCTGTCACGCTGTTAGGGCTCTGGCATTAACTGCTTGAAGCTTGGTTTTAACAATTTAAATCTCAAAGGAATTTGTCTTAATTTAGCTTTTCGTTCTGACAGTGTGTACTTTTTTGTGCCATAATCCAGTGTTTCTTCCAGTTTCTAAACACAGCAGCTGATGAACAATTAAGGTTTTTTTCTGATCTTTTGATACAACTTTTGTTGATTTATGAATTTAAAAATTAAATTTGCGCCAATAAAATCTTTCTTGTTTCAAATGAAGTTTGAGGCTGGGAAAATAAAATGCTGCTGAATGCCTTTGGTTTTGCTAGTTCCCTATTTTGGTCCAAATCCTGAGAAAGCTGGGATTTTTGAGTGAGAAGCGTTAACCAAAAATGCTTCAGTAAGTATTGCGGAATCCCAGATGTTCAGATTCAGGGCACCAGTAGGTGCATTTCCCACTTCTTACTTGGGAATCCTTTGGGCTGCCTGCTCACTTTTGCCCTGTGCTCTAACACAGAAACAGCTCTGTCCTGTTAATTTCGCTTTTTCAGGGGTAGTAGAAGAAGGAGCTCAGGAATCCTCGAGTAATGACAAACTATAATGTGTGTTTTCCTGGGATAGTAGTTTGACTTCTCCTCATGAGACCAGAGAAGCCTTTACATGGAAGGGCTCTTGAGAGAAGTGAATGAGTCAGGGGCAGAGGACGGAGGAGGGAGAGCAGGAGCATCTCGTAGTGAACGCCGGTGATCGCTTGGCGGGCGTGCACACAGGGCACGCAGAGCGCGGGGTCCGTCGGCACAGCCTCCAAGCGCTGTTTCAGTTCAGGCTGAAAGCCGTGCGGGGAAAACCGGAGATGTACGTGCACGGTGAAGGCTTCTCTGAAGTGTTCTGTGGTAACTGCAGCGGAGTACTCCCTCTTGTGGCGAGAAGGGAAAACTCCCCGCAGAAATCTGTGTGACCTCTTTTTTTTTCTTTTTCTTCAGCCCCTCTCTCTATGCTCACTGGTTTGCCTCACTTACTCTTCTTTTGTCCTTCCCTTCAGTGAATATTCCTCACTGGTATGCACCACGTGTGCTCTCCTGCGTGTTTTCTGTTTCATCTTTCTGTTTATGCAGTACCTGAATCTGTTCTCTTTGTCTTGCAAATGCTACAATTTCACTCTGTCTATCTCAGTCTGGTTTTATTGGTATTTGGACTGTGTTTAAACTCTTAGCTTTAAAGTATCCTTTCTTATTACGTTGCAAACATATTGAAAATATGCCTTACAGGCTAACTTAAAAAACATTTACAGGAGTAAAAGGCTGGAAAAAGAAATAAGGATGTTGAAGAACATAATAGTTTTGTTTCTTAAATGGCTTAGTTTGTCTGAACTGCTATGAAAGGGTCATGTATAGACGGGATTAGGAGATAACATGCTGCTTTTCCCAGCTGTTTGATTAACCAGCTTAGAGATGGGTTAAATGCAGTAGCAGAGTGCAAGGAAGGCACATCACCACCTTCAGAGTGCAGAAAAGGCCCTACAGCGTGCTTGCAGTTCATCAGATTTACGGTGTAATAAGCTGTATGCTCCATTCAGCACTATAATTAACCCAGGAAAAAACTCCGCTTCAGTCTTTGCTGACAGCATGAACCTCACAAAGCCAAGCAGTCTCAGCAAAATACCCCTAAATAAGATTAAGCAAAGGGAAGCAACCATGAAATGTAGGCTAAGTGGCCAGCAGTTATTATTTGTTGCTTGTATTTAGTACCAAGTTCTGTACTTGGCATGAGGTGTCCAGGCATGTAATGTGTGAACAGCACTGGCAACTCTTAACGGTGCTGACAGACGAGACCCTACACAGAAACCATTAATGTTTTCCCTGGGCAAAGGAAAGTAATCAAACACTGTAAGAAAACACTTGTAAATGCACGTTGATGGCGTTTTCTGCATCTCCTAAACGGTCATGGCTCTCAGCCCATTGATGCCCACCAGGACTGGGAATTACATGTTGGTGGGCTGAAATGGTGGCAGACTGAGTAGTGCTGGGGTGTCAGCGGAAACAAGGAACGAAAAGACCTGGAGAAGAGGAAGCCAAGGCTGGTGGCACGTTTGGAAAGTGCCGGATTCCTTAGACCTGTGCTGTTGCTAAAGAAATACTGCTTGTATGAGGAGGACTGATAGAGCAGGTACAGACACAGTCCTGAAATCTAGTACCTCTTTGAAAAACAGATCTCATTGTTCTTTCTTCCACTTCTCAGGTATCCTGCAATATCTTCAGAACTCTCCCACCTAGTGACAGCAATGAATTTGATCCAGAAGAAGATGAGCCCACCCTGGAGGCATCATGGCCACATTTACAGGTTTTTGATCATTACTCAGCAGAAATGCTTATCATTGCTTAATGTATTGAATAATTTTATCAGCTTTCTTTTTAACTTGTGAATCAGAACTAGTCTGTGAGACGCTAACACTTTTGAATGCTGTTCATGGCTATAATATAGTACCTACAAAGGCGGGAGATACTTTGTGAAATTTGCAAATTATTAAAGCTTTCTATCAAAATTGTATCTATAGCGTTTCTCGTGTTCCTCTTTTTCCTTCAATGATTTAAAAGTTATGTTGCTTTCCAAACTGCTCTGATGCACAAGTGTTTTTCAGCAGCTTCAGCACGAGCATCGTGGGGTGATGCTGCTAGCAGCTTTGGTTTGCTGAGGGTAGTCAGTTTTCATACAGAAGTACGCAGGTGCTGGCAGCAGAGGAGAGAAGTGGATGAGAGTCCGCATCCCTGTCTCAAGTCTCTCCTCCTCTCCTGGGGTCAAGGTTTGCTCTAAGGTGTTTGTCGCAGGTTGCGTGCACACTGCTCTGTGTTGTCCCTTCCTCTGTACCTCAGCTGTCAGCACAGCATAAAGTTTTGGAGAGAACATCATTGATGCTCACGCAATAGATTCCTTTATAGAAAATACAGATGCAGATCCAGTCTGTGTTAGCCAGGACACTGACTTGCTCCTCTAGTAAATTTAGAAGAAGTTTGCCTGAGTAACAGGTTGTGGAGTCTGGGATTTTCTGTGAGCAAAGGAGCGCGATTGATCTCAGCTTGAAATGGGGAATTTATTTGGCAGCTGCAAACACAGTCATTGCCTGTGAGCGGTTTGTTTCACTCTTTTGTGCGCTCAAATTTAGAATCTGTTGAAATGTAGGTTTCATCCCTCATTTGCATTTAAATTTCACAAAAGTAAGAATCTTAAAAGCTTCAAGCTCTTAAGCTCTGAACAGCTCTGCCTGTCTGGAAAGAGCGCAGGCATACATGTCTGTTATCTTGTGCTCCTTGACTCTGGTGCTGTGGTTTTAAAAGCCATTATTTACATGGAAATTATGGAATTTCTTAGCTAGTGGATGATTTACCATTGTCAGGAAGAAATGCACCAAAGTATTTGTCAGGAGTTGATAGAATTGATTTCCTGATGGTTTATTATTAGTTCTGTAAGCCATTGCTTTTTGCATGTCCTATTTCTAAACCATTCTTCCCCTTTTTGATTTCCTATTATCTCCTTGTAGAAGCCAGAGAACAGTGACATGAAGCAGCCGCAGCAGTAGCATTGCGGCATATTGGCACTTGCATGGAATACTTTAAAATTCTTTTAAAATGTGATTTTTAGCTTCCTTTCAGTGTCAGTATTCATACTACTGAAGTCAGAAACGAAAGGGTTTTCAAGGGCTGCTCTTCTAGAAAAGGTTCAGCAAAGAGAGTTGCCACCTGGTAGCTCATCTGGTCAGGCACAAGTCAGAGCTGCTGTCGAACAAGGCCGTAGCAACCCCGTTTCACTTCGCTTCCTTGGTGCTTGGTGTTGCTGTCCCACCAAACGGTTTAGGGAGAAATGCAATCGCCTGAAAATCAGCAGGTTTTCTCCAGCCTTGAGGCTACTCTTTATAGTAAGTTAGGAACTTCTGAATAAATTCGGGTTTATATTCTTCTGCTGTGTTTCGTGTTGCGGTACAAGGCTACTCTAAGCAGTTTCTAATTTGATTTAAATGTTTCCAATTGTTTCACCAGCCCTTTCAGAGTTTTGATGTCTGTATTTGATGTGACTTAGCAGCTCAGAGGGCAATTTAAATGTGCTATCCAATTACTCTGGGAAGCTTTACGAGATGATAACAAGCATTACAAAAGATGACAGTGCTTGTTTTTAGTGATGCAGTGTCTTGGACTGGGGTTAAATAAGTGAAAATAACTTAAAAAGCTCATGAAATTAATTAACTCTAAGGCAGCAATTTGATAAAGGAGAAAAACCTTTTTCATTTTTTTAAGCTTTTGCTCTGTGGAAAAGTGTGTGTTTTGTTTTCTAGGAGAAAAAACAAGAAATCAGGGAAGTACTTGAAAATATAATGAATAGTCAAGCCATAAACTAAATAATGAATGTTTGTTTTTTCTTTTGCAGCTTGTATATGAGTTTTTCATACGATTTTTGGAAAGCCAAGAATTCCAGCCCAGCATTGCCAAAAAGTACATAGATCAGAAATTTGTATTGCAGGTAAGCTGATCTGTTTTCTGCAAGGCTTCACTTTGCTTTGGAAAAAAAATTCTGTGAAAAGATTTTGTTTAAAATTTGCAAGTGTATTTGCAACAGAAAAAGGTAAACGAGCATGTACAGTGAAAGTTTTCAGTCTACAGAAGTGTATGTGTGTGTTTGTGTCAGTCTCTATTGCTGTAGATCTATAAAATAGTTGGTTTGGCTCCAGTTTTGATACCTTAATAAAAATATTTGTCTTACTGGTTTTGAGGGGGAGCTGAAAGAGTAACTGTTGAAAACTGAAAGGTTTACTATCAAGTGGTCTAAAAATGCTGCTATCTAGAGAGACTCCTTAAATGCCAGTTTTAATGTGTCTCAATATTGTTAAAATATTTCTTTTGGAAGGGGAGAATATTTCTCTCTTCTAGCGCTGCTGGAGAGCTGGCAAGAGGGGCAGAAGTTCATTAACAAACCTATTCCCAGAACAGTACTGGGAACAGTGATGCTGTAGTGGGCAGGGAGGAAGTAAATCAAAAGGCCATGTAAAGTTCAAGCTCTATTAAAAGCATGGAAGAAGAAGTAGCATCAATAATAAAAACACTGGCAAAAAATGGGTAGTTTTGCTCTTGTGGTTTGCTCGCCATCGTTGTGGCTGAAGGGAAGAGGTGGCCTTGGTCAGCTGTAGCCAGGTACCTTACACATATTTCATCGCTCTCCGTGTGTACAAGCTGGGCTTTTCGTGTGCTTTATTTCACTTGAAGCTGCAGTAGCTGTTCTAGACTGAGGGATTTTTGTCCAGGCTGTGACGGATCCCAAAACAGATGTGGCTGAAGGAAAATGTTTTGTGGGATAAGCCAGGAAACTCCACAGATAAGACTTTAGCTTTTGCAGACAGGCTTGTCCTGCGTTCTCTGTTCCCGTTGCGAATTTCTGTACAACCGCACAGTCAGAGGGAGCGTTGTGTTTAGTGCTGTCTGCAGCTTGCTTTTGAAATCAGGGGAATCTAGAAAGATTCCTACTTAGTTAGATAAGGGGGTTTCCTTTAAGGCTGAGGCTTGAATAAAATCCCAACTAGAAATGACAGAAGATACTCGGCATTTCTGAGGGCCTTTCTGTCTCACCGCTTTGTCTTGGAGCTTTTATTTTTCCCTGTACCGCTCAGGCAATAAAAGTAGTGCTTTAACTGTCCTTCTTCATTCTACAAAAGCAATGGGATATACTTACGTTTTTATTTTATCTATCTTCTAAATACAAGAGCGTTTTTCATCTGGATCAAACCTTCATGGTGGAGTTTCCTTTTTGTTCAGAACAAGAGAGAGCATCTCTTGTTCAGTTCTGGGCCCCTCACTATAAGAAGGATGTTGAGATTCTGGAGCATGTTCAGAGAAGAGCCACAAGGATGGGGAGGGCTCTGGAGAACAAGCCTGATGAGGAGCGGCTGAGGGAACTGGGCTTGTTTAGCCTGGAGAAGAGAAGGCTGAGGGGAGACCTCATCACCACCTCCAACTGCCTCAAGGGAGGTTGTAGAGAGGTGGGTGCTGGTCTCTTCTCCCAGGTGATGGAGGATAGAACAAGGGGAAACGGCACCAAGCTGTGCCAAGGGAGGTTCAGGTCAGAGATAAGGAGGAAGTTCTTTACTGAGAGGGTCGTCAGAAGCTGGACCAGGCTGCCCAGGGAGGTGGTGGAGTCACCATCCCTGGATGTGTTTAAGGAGCGGGTAGCCGAGGTACTTAAGGATATGGTTTAGGGGGTAGACAGGAACGGTTGGACGTGATGATCTCAGAGGTCTTTTCCAACCGAGAGATTCTGTGATTCTGTGATTCTGTGTGTGTGATTTCCAGCAGCATCATCCAGAACCTGGTGGAGACGTAGGAACATGCATGGGGGTGATCACCCTTGACAAGCTTTTCCAGACTGATTTTTTTTTTTCTTTAGCCATGGCAGGATTGCATTAGAAGGAAAGGTCTGTAGTCTAGAGAAGAACTTGCCCAGATGCTCCTGCTAGTGCTGCTGAATGTGATCATGGCTGGTGGCACCCTACTCGTGCCCTGTCAAGGCGTTCTTCCCTGTTTCAATTCGGCAATGAAGAATGGGTCTAAAACAATGATTTTTAGAATCCTGTTAGTCTTTGATAAATCTACTAAATGAAGGAGTGGTGTCTACTGAAAAAGGGAAATACGAGACTTTGAAACCTACTTACTGCGAACGCATGATACAGCAGTTAGGATTTCAGAGGAATTTGGAAGTTCTTGCCACGTGGTTAGGTGATTCATTTTTGCATACTGCATGCACAGCGTGCCAGTTTAAAATCCACACTTTCCTATTAAAAGTTCTGTTGAGCGTTATATACACGTGCAAGTAGATAGGTGTGTGTGTCCAGGCGTGTTTAGCCTGTAGGAGTGGGGGCGTCCTTCCACTCGTGTGTTTGTTGTGTGTCCAGAGTAACTCCTGGAAACCAGTGACTACAGGGGACCGATCTGAGACTTCAGAGCACGGAGCGTGGTTGGTGTTTCATGACACGACACAAGTGTGGCAGTCCTGCTAGCTTCCTCTCTAAGTTTATTTGGTTTCTTCTTGTAAATTTGAGGAACTTTAATGCACTGTTTCCTGGCAATAAGAATACCTATATGAAAAGGTGATAGAGTTTTTATTTTAATAGGCAAAATCTTCAACCCTTTTTCTTGTATGCTTGCTTTTTGCTTTGTTTTTTGTTTGTTTTTTTTAAATACAGATGTGTTTCAGGCTTTCAGCTGTACGTTTTGGTGAAATGCTGTATTTAAGTGTGCCTGTTCATTTCTAAAGCCTGCTTATGTACAGTCTGAAATGGTTGGCAGTGGTTGCTAAGAGACAAACTATTCAAATATATCTACAAGTGTCTGTGCTGTGTAGGTTGCTATTTTGGAAAATTTATTTCCCTTTTCTGTGTATGCTTAGTGTCAGAATAGTCACATAAATTATGGAAGTCTTGCAGCTTACCCGTAAAAATAAGACTATTGTTGAAACCTGATAACGAATTGGACGTATCAAAGTAATTGTATTTTTTTTAACAGGAGACTGAGTCTTAGTTCAGCAGTGTTTCCACAGAGAATCTATGTAACAGAACTGGAAATACAAATATTTTGCTCCTAAAAGCAATACAATAAGAGAATTAAAAACACAAGTGTTTCCAGCTGTTTGCTGTCCTTGGGTGCAGTTTGCTGTTTGGGGAAGGATGAGGTGACTGTTTATTTATTTGACTGTGGAGGTAATTGGACAAAGCGGTGTGTTTGTAACCTCTGGAGGGCAGCTCACAAACCTCATCGTTTCCTCGTGGAATTCCCACCACAGAGTCTTACTGCAAGGACAAGATGGTGAGATCTCATTGCAGGCTACAGAAACAGCCAAAACAACAAAGAGGAATACGCACATCAGTCTGAAACCTGGATGTTAGAAAACAGAATCTCAGACGGCTTAACAACTCTTAATCATCCTTTTCTATCTTTTCTTCTTTTTCACCTCCTCAAAATTGTGTAGCAGTTAAATTGAGCTCAGGTAGCGTACATGCACTGACATATCTACTTATAGTAGGTATTTATAACTTGTCTATCCGTGAATCCAAGATAATTTTAGTTTCTACCATTCCTGTAATATTTTCCTGACAACATCTTACAAATTTGTAAGACCTTTTTGGCGAACTTTCTTTATTTCTCTTGCAAGACAAGTACTGGTTGACAGTTCCTTTCTTTTTCATACAACAGAGATACTGGTTGCTTATGACTGCTACCTGAAACTTCGCTGTTTCCTGTGCATTTGTGTGGGGGGTGGTGTTTTTTGTTTTCGTTTGATAGGTTTGGTTTATTTTTAAATGAAGTTTACCTTCCAACTGTCTGCCAGGATGGCCAGTGTTGCAGTGTCAAAAAAGGTGCAGAAGGGGTAGGGGAAAGCTCGTATTTTTGTGGCAGAGACTTCAAGGGCAATAGAACAAAGATCTGCAGGTGATTTTCCTGCTGCTCACTCCGTGCCTTAATTCTTAGAGGCAACCTCAGGTGTCAGTGTTTTGGGATATATTTCCTACAAGGCAGGACACCAGTAGCGTTCTCTTTTGACTGAATACCACATAATCATCTTGCTGTTTTAAAATCTTATTGGTGAGTAGTCTGTTGTTGGGGTTGGTTGGTTGGTTGGTTTGGTTTTCAACTGGATATTGATGTTACCATCTTGTTCCCCCTGGAGCATCAGTTCCCCGTGATGCTTTGGTTTGTGTTGACTGGTGAAGATGCTGTAACAGCAGATCCAGTGCTGGCGTGGACTCCACTGCTGAGCCTTTGCACAGCGAGAGGTCACACAATCACAGGGAAGGCTTAAGAGCCTCATAATAGAAATTACAAGCAGTCAGAAAAATGTGATCTTGATGCAGTGTTGTGGGAACAGAATGTTAAAGCAGATGAGTGTCTTTATGTTCTGTAAAGGAATGGTGTATGGTAAGAGGCAGCTGCCTTGTTTTGTAGATATGGTGGCATCCAAGAATCTATTTTATTTATTTCTGGGCAGAAGGCAGGCAGCATTGTGGAGCCAGTTAATCAACAGTTTATTAGTGGTTTGAAGATATCCAAAGTTTTGTTATGTCAGAAGTGGGAATTAATAAACTGAATTTCGTGATGCTGTGCTGGGGTTACAACAGATTTTTTTAGTACTGTGTTTCTGCACCTTGGGTAGCACAGGTACCCCATTCTTACGTGCACGTGCTGTCATGAATTTAACTGTTACACAGAAGTGTGTGCCATACTTGTCCAATGTGCGTTGTTTCAGTTCTCTTTTTCCTTTAAACGCAGCTGTTGGAGCTGTTTGACAGCGAAGACCCTCGAGAAAGAGACTACCTAAAAACAGTCTTGCACAGAATCTATGGCAAGTTTCTGGGTCTTAGAGCATTTATCCGAAAACAGATTAATAATATTTTTCTACGGTAAGTTGTGGGAGAAGGTGCTTTTCACATAGGAACATTTTAGGAAAACGAATTATTACTTACATTTGACTTTTCTGTTTTTTAGATTTGTTTATGAAACCGAACACTTCAATGGCGTAGCTGAACTGTTGGAAATTTTAGGAAGGTAAACGAGTCTTTATTTGTGGTCTATCTCAGACTTCCCTTATGGACATGTCAGAATGGTGTCAGATTCAGAAAAGGTATTACTGTAAGCCCTGATTCTAAAAACAGATGTGTATCCGTGCTCATCTGTAAGCCCACGTGCAAATCTCTGTCACCTCTTTGCCAAGAGTATGTGACTGGATGCAGGTTGGATTGATTGGTTGGATTCAATGTTGGATTGATTCTGTGTGTGTATGAAATTCTGCACTTCATCCTTGCATGCTGCAGATTATTGTTTTTGAGCACATTAACAATGTGAATATTTTGCGTAAATCTTATTTTGGCAAGTTAATTAACTGAAGAACATCTTGCTTACATAAACTTACGGACCACATCGACAAGGTCTGATGTGTTTGGCAACAGGTTTGTGCGACTGTTGATGTTACTATTCCTAAATTGGAGCTGAATTGCTACCTAGACGTGCACTGCACTGCTCATGTAAAGCAGGACACGAGTCAGCGCCTGTTTGCAAATGGCACGAGGCTGCTCTTAATTATTAAATTATTTTAATCTAGGAAGTGCTTATTCAGACCTGAAGAATGTTTTTTGTGATAATAACACTAACAAATATTTCTCTTCTGATTTCTAGTATTATCAATGGTTTTGCTTTACCTCTCAAGGCAGAGCATAAACAGTTTCTGGTGAAGGTGCTGATCCCTTTACATACCGTCAGGAGTTTATCGCTCTTCCATGCACAGGTAGAAATCATAAAAATACTTCCTGCTGAGTTAGAATTAAGGTTGCTGTGGGAATAGCACATGAAAGGTGGGGTGGGAGTTTGGAAATGTGGGAAGAACACAGTAGGTTTTTTTTAAAGTTCATGTAATGTTCTTTGTATGATAAATGTCTTGCTTCTGTTCTGATTAGATAGTTAAAAGTGCACCATGCATCTGTAATATTTTGGGGATTTTGTTTATTAGTTAAACTCTTTCCTTGGTTTTTCCTCTCTGCTGCTTTCTCATTCTCACAAGTTTGCCTTTCCCATTCCCTCTCCCAAGAGGATGTTTGGGTTTCCTTGGCCTTGTGCTCTCAAGGCCCTTCTTCACCCTGGCCAACTTTCTGAATACTTGTACCCACATTTTGGCTAAATCTGTAACATTCTCCTTCACAGATCTCTTACCACTGCATTTATGCTTTCATGTATCTTTTTATACGTTCAGTTTTCACTATTTTCCTCTGATAAGCGATACCTGCTGCCTTTCTCTCCGATTTTCAGGTAGTGCAGTGTTTCTTCTGCTGATAAAGCCGTGCTTTCTAAGTGTGTTGTTCCAGGTTTTAGCTATGTCGGCTCATCTTGCCAGAGCTTTCATGATTTTGCCAATGTATAAAATGTGTAAAATGACGCAGTTTCAGAGAGTAACAGAAGCTTCAGAACACTGGTTGTATGACTGTACTTAGAATTCCAAGTTGCTCTCATTTTTACTGTGTGTCTACTGTGTCACTCTGATTTTTTTTGTGGTGTGTTCTGTTGTTTCTTATGAACTGAACTTGGAGCAAATTCGCATGGTGCAAACTATGCATCTCAGTTTAAAATTGGGTGCAGTTTGAGAAAGCTGTACAGCATCTTGCCTTGAGTCTTTTAAAAAAGTTGTTTTTTTAGTCGAAATGTTCTAACTCAATTTTCTTCAATCTTTCTCTCTTCACAGCTGGCGTATTGCATAGTACAGTTTCTGGAGAAGGACCCCTCGCTGACAGAACCAGTAAATATTTCGTTCATACTTTTTTTTTTGCATCATGAATGGCTTACCCTGTTGAGAGAAAAGTAAAGAAATCTAACTTTTTTTTTTCCTTTTAATTTAGGTCATTAGAGGTTTAATGAAGTTCTGGCCAAAAACCTGCAGTCAGAAAGAGGTAAGTGATGTGCTAATATTAAGATTTATTTTGTTCTACAGTGTAATAGGCAGGGAATTTTTAGACATTTCCAGGTAGACATCACGTGCTGTGGTGTCTCTTAATTCTTGTGGGTGATTTTCCATACTGAGGTTTCCATCTCTCCCTGAATTGGTAGAATTTGAGAGTTACCAGCCTTTTGCTGATGAAGACGATTCAGAGATTTTCTATTCAATGCTTCCCTCCTTGTCTTTAGGTCATGTTCCTAGGAGAGCTGGAGGAGATCCTGGATGTCATCGAACCATCACAGTTTGTCAAAATCCAGGAACCCTTGTTTAAACAAATTGCCAAGTGTGTCTCTAGCCCTCATTTTCAGGTCAGTGGTAGAGGTTACTGTTTGTATGGGAATGCATAGTCTCGATTTCAAACGTAGCAACCCCCTAGATGTAAATGTTATTTTATGTAATGTGGCTTTCAATACTTGTCTTCTGGATTTCTATGGAAGAGGGTGTGTTGCAGTAGAAGTTTAGTTCTGAGCTCTGTGAATATCTTTTAGATGTATCTGGGGTCACACCACAAAATCTGCTGTTCTGAGCCACATGAACCCTTAAACAGTATCCAAGCAGACTTAAGCCCTTCACCATAGGTGATGGGTACTCAGTGTATGGCCTTCAGACTGATAGACAACGTAGGACGTATTTGCTCCCTCTTTAGCACAGTATTGTGCAGCATTCTTGTTTTTCTACTTCCTTCTGTAAGGAGATGTCTGGTTACAGGTGATGGAACCCATAGCCTGTTTTCTTCATACTGCATAATGGGAAGAAGGGAAATGAATAGGATTTAAATGAAACATATGTGAGGAGGAGATAGGATTCACGGCCTGTAGCATCTCCATACTATGCTAGGTGACCTGTCCAGGCACAAAGTTGGTCTACACTTATTTTTAGCATAATTTAGATCAGTGTTTTCCCAGCTGCTCCCCAGGGTGATCATTATCACTGGCACCTTCCCCACAGTTAAGATCTCGTCTCCCTTTCTCAGCCCAGCTACTGGGCCTTTCCCTGTCTCCTTCCTCTGCTATTCTAGCACTGCTCTCTTTCTTCTGACTGCAGTCACAGGATGCAGGGAGAGGGGCGCTGGGAAGTCTGTCTGCTCTCCCTTCCCCTCCGCAGCTGCAGCATTAATGCAGTGTCTGCACCTGGGCTTCAGTGAGTAACGACATAGTGCTCAGGGGAAAGAGAGGGTGCTCTGGGATCTGAATTACAGGATAAAAACTTAGTTCCATTAATGCATGTTGTTCTTCTGATTAGCTTTGGAGTTAAAACTCTAATGATTCCTGTTAATTCATCCTTGTGAAATTTCTCTGTGATTTGTTGTTCCTTCAGAAAATTACAAAATTATGGGTATCTGAATTCCTGTTAATTTTTTTATTCCTTTGACTCAAAGGTGGCTGAGAGAGCGCTGTATTATTGGAATAATGAATACATCATGAGTTTGATAGAGGAGAATTCAAATGTTATACTTCCCATCATGTTTTCCAGCCTTTATAGGATTTCTAAAGAACACTGGAATCCGTAAGTTTTTGCCATTGCACTTTATCTTACTCTTTGGCATACCACTGATACACTCAGGGGATGTCTGCTGAAGAACATCTGAACAAGAGAGATCCAAAGTCAAAGCTGGCACGAGCTGGTGCAACTCTGTTAATGCCAGTATAAATTAGTGTATAGTTGAGCTTGTCTCAAAATGTTTTTAATTATCTGGTATGTGGTCAAAAATCAGTACCTCATGGGGTAAAAATAGACCTCCTTACAAAGACAAATTAGATGTTACATTGTTATTGAAGAAAAAGTGTTGCTCATCAGGCATTTCTCCTACACAGCTCTTTATAAACTGCTTAACGCCTTAAGCCTGATTGTAAATTGTCCAGAAGAATATCGCTTGGCATGAATAAGGCTTTGTGGCTGTGTCATGGGCGATACTGGTACCTCTGGTAGACTTCTGGAACTGGCATTTTTTTAGATGTCTGTGAAGCATATAGGCATCAGTATGTTCTTAATTTGGGTTGTTTTTTCTGAATTTGTTTAAATACAGCTGTTCTGTATTACGTGCAGTAATAGAGCAGTTTCTTCATATTTATATCCTATTAATTGGGCATTTTGGTTTCTAAACTGAATGACCTGGCAGAAAGTGTTTTAATGAAAAATGCTATTACGGTTAGATCCCACATAGTCTATAGTTTACTTCAAAAGTTTTTCTAATTCCAGATGGTTACTGTTTAGTGAACCCAGTATTTCTAATGAGCTATGCTACCTGCAGGTCCCAGTTGCTTTAAGACCTCACTGTAAAGTATTTGTAAAATACTTCATCTCTTCAAATGCTGGTCTTTTTGTTCTGTATCTACCCAGACCCTCAAGTTTGTGTGCTTATGTGCCAAACCTAATACTTCTGGAAAGCTTCTGTAACTAATGCTGGTCACATAAAAAACCCACTTTCCATGCATAAAAATGCATTACCAGTCTTCATCCTGCCCATGCTCCTGCCCAGCCTTTTACACTGTGCACTGGGATGCTTCTGGCAATGAGAGTATTCCAGTATCCCAGGTCTCAGTTCTCATACCCACAGGAATGTTGTACCTTTGGCACACAAGCCAGGTTAAGATACATGTAAAATTAAAAGGAATTGAAAGAATTTTTGTATTTATAAGAACATTTTAAAATGTAGGCAATGAGAACGAAAGTTTGTTGAAAGAGGTGCCCGACAGACAGGGGTGTGCGGGAAGTGGCACATGGTTTGTCTGCGCAGTGGGTTTGCTCCAAGGGTTGCTGGTACCTGTAATGTTGGTTCAGCTCCTGAGCTGGTTCTTAAGCAGCCTCGTGTCTGAATATGACAGCCACAGTAGTGGGCCAGGAACCTGGCATCTCTTGATTGAGAATCTATTCCACGGTCTTTGAAAGCTGTTTTTTTTAGATTTGTCTTTTCCTTCTCCCTTTTTATATGCCTTGTTGTTTCTTTATCTTCAACTCTGCCAGAGAGAAATGTTGATCTCTAGGTAACCAGACTATTGGCAGATCCATTACTTTGGAAACTTTAGTATATTTTAGGTTAGTAATCCAGTCAGATGGTATAAGAGTAAACTGATTCTACCTTTTCGTGAACCTTTGTGGGACAGAATGCCTTTAAAGCCTTTTGAAATTTGAATCTTCTTCCTGTACGAACAGATCGTGCCTGTCATGTTTTATGCAATAAAGCAACTCGAATTCAAATAAGCAATGGGGTATTGGCTCTTGGGTAAGGTCAGGAGCAGCAGTAAGAAAAGTAGGCAGAGGTTATATAGAGATATTACATATTTTTAATATATAAAATATATGTTATATATAGGTATTAGATATTATATCTATATATTATCTAGAGAT